CGCAGATCGCAGCCCCCAGGATGGCGAAGTCTCATTTGAATATTCATAAAACGTCACTCCGCTGGACACCTCGATTATCCCGACAAAGCGACCTAACAGCGATGTGTAGGAGCATATCTGGAAGCATTCCCCTTAAGATTCAGATGATAATCCAATTGTAGAATTCTGCTGTTCTCGCACTCGCAGTCGCATTCGCGATGACAGTAGCAGCGGCAACGGCAGTCGCAGTCACGGCCCCAGCCTCAGCCTGCCTCAGCCTCAGCCTCAGCCTGCCTCAGCCTCAGCCTCAGCCTGCTTCAGCCTCAGCCTCAGTCTGCCTTCAGCCTCCGCCTCAGCCTCAGCCTGCCGCAGCCTCAGCCTGCATCAGCCTCAGCCTCAGCCTCAGCCTGCCTCAGCATCAGCTTGCCTCAGCGTGTGCCTCAGCCTGCTTCAGCCTCAGCCTCAGCCTCATCCTCAGCCTCAGCCTCAGCCTGCCTCAGCCTCAGCCTCATCCTGCTTCCAGGCCAGCCTCACCTCAGTCGATTGGGCTGCCGTCGCCTCGGCCTCGGCCTCAGCCCTGCCTCAGCCTCAGCCTGCCTCAGCCTCAGCCTCAGCCTCAGCCTGCCTCAAGCATCGCCCTGCCTCAGCCTCAGCCTCAAGCCTCAGCCTGCCTCATAATCCTCAGCCTGCTTCAGCCTCAGGCCTTCAGTCTGCCTGCAGCCTCGGCCTCAGCCCAGCCTGCCTCAGCCTGAGCAATGCCTCAAAGCCCAGCCTCAGGCCTCACCAGCCTCAGCCTCAGCCAGCCTCAGCCTCAGCCTCAGCCTGCCTCTGCCTCAACCTCAGCCTGCTTCAGCCTCAGCCTCAGTCTGCCGTCGGCCTCAGCCTCAGCCTCAGCCTGCCTCAGCCTCAGCCTGCCTCAGCCTCAGCCTCAGCCTGCTTCAGCCTCAGCCTCAGTCTGCCTCCAGCCTCGGCGTCAGCCTCAGGCTGCCTCAGCCTCAGCCTGCATCGGCCTCAGCCTCAGCCTCTAGCCTGCCTCAGCATCAGCCTCAGTCTGCAGTCTGCCTTCACCTCGCCTCAGCCTCCGCCTGCCTCAGCCTCAGCCTGCGTCAGCCTCAGCCCAGCCTCAGCAACCTCAGCCTAGCCTCATCCTCACCTCCGCCTGCATCAGCTCAAGCCTCAAGTCTGCTTCAGCCTCAGCCTCAGCCTCAGCCTGCTTCAGCCTCACCTGCACAGCCCTCAGCCTCAAGCTCAGCCTGCCTCAGCATCAGCCTGCCTCAGCCTCAGCCTCAGCCTGCCTCAGCCTCAGCCTCAGCCTGCTTCAGCCTCAGCCTCAGTCTGCCTTCAGCCTCGGCCTCAGCCTCAGCCTGCCTCAGCCTGAGCCTGCCTCAGCCTCAGCAACAGCCTGCCTCAGCATTCAAAATGTGGCCCGGGAATGGAGTTCTGGGAACTCGAAGACCACGAAGTGGCCTACAGTTGGCTCCGGGCATTCAAAATCATGCCCAAGAATGGAGTTCTGGGAATCCGAAGAACACGAAGTGGCCTACAGTTGGCTCCGGGCATTCAAAATCATGCCCAGGAATGGAATTCTGGGACCTCGAAGACCACGAAGTGGCCTACAAACTTGGGCTCCGGGCATTCAAAATCAATGCCAAGAATGGAGTTTCTGGAACTCGAAGACCAGCACGTGGCCTACATTGTCTCCAGCTCAATCAAATCATGCCCAAGAATGGAATTCTGGGAACTCGAAGAACACGAAATGGCCTACAGTTGGCTCCGGGCATTCAAAATCATGCGCAGGAATGGAGCTCTGGGAACTCGAAGAAATACCCGGATTCCCGCGGGAGTCCCCGGATTCCCGCGGGACCCGTCCGGCATCTGCCCAGACCCCCCTGGGGAGTCATGATGCTCTCTTTTGAGACCACTAGAAACCTATCAGTCTTCGCTGTTAGGTAAAAATGGCGACGGTTTTGCAGATCGCAGCCCCCCAGGGATGGCGAGGTCTCCTGGTGATCCGCATAGGGCGTCACTCTGCTGGACCCCCCAGCAGCCCCGGAAAGTGGCGACGGTTTCGCAGATCGCAGCCCCCCCAGGGATGGCGAGGTCTCATTTGACAATGTGTTAGACGCCACTCCGCTGGACACCCCCCAGCAACCCTCGAAACAGGGCGACGGTTTTGCAGATCGCCGCCCCCCTAAGATGGCGAGGTCTCTTGGTGATCCGCGTAAGACGTCACCCGCTGGACCCCCCAGCAGCCCTCGAAAGTCGGCAGATCGCAGGCCCTCACAGAGATGACTAGGTATGCGACAGGCTGGCACGCAGGAAGGAGCGGCTTAAGAGGCAAGCAGGAACGTGAGAGGAAGAGGGGGGAGGGAAGGAGGGGAAGGAAACGCGCGAGCAGTGCTATATATATTCAAAACGAGTGCCCAACGCAAGGGGATGGGAAACACTGCTTCTCGTCTGCGTCGCGGGCTGCGGCCTGTCGGCCCCGACGGCGACGGCGACGGCGACGACGGACGGGAATATATAATATAAATATATCATATATATATAATATATATATATATATATCCGCCGGCCCCCTTGTGGGGCCACCAAGCTGTAGGACCGTGATTCGCAGTTTCCTGTACCAGTCGTAGGTTGTAGTTTCCAGTGTTACAGTTCTGCTTCTTGCTGGTTACTGTAACTAAATGACTTCTTGCTGGTTACTGTAACTAGTTGATTGACCGCGCGAGGGGGGGGGGGCCAAACAGTATTTTTTAGCACCCCCTGGGCGCGTTGTCTGAATTGCTGGGGGGCTCGAAATCGACACCCCTCACGCAGATCGGCGGGCTCAGGGTCCAAAAACACAGGGGATTTGCCACATTTCTGAAATTCGGTGCCACCCCTCACGCAGATCCGCGGGGTCAGGGTCCAAAAACACAAGGGGATTTGCCACATTTCTGAAATTCGGTGCCACCCCTCACGCAGATCCGCGGGGTCAGGGTCCAAAAACACAGGGGATTTGCCACCTTTCTGAAATTCGGTGCCACCCCTCACGCAGATCCGCGGGGTCAGGGTCCAAAAACACAGGGGATTTGCCACATTTCTGAAAGTCGGTGCCACCCCTCACGCAGATCCGCGGGGTCAGGGTCCAACAACACAACGATTTGCAACATTTCTGAAATTCGGTGCCACCCCTCACGCAGATCCGCGGGGTCAGGGTCCAAAAACACATGTGATTTGCCACATTTCTGAAAGTCGGTGCCACCCCTCACGCAGATCCGCGGGGTCAGGGTCCAAAAACACATGGGATTTGCAACATTTCTGAAATTCGGTGCCACCCCTCACGCAGATCCGCGGGGTCAGGGTCCAAAAACACATGAGATGTGCCACATTTCTGAAATTCGGTGCCACCCCTCACGCAGATCCGCGGGGTCAGGGTCCAAAAACACAGGGGATTTGCCACATTTCTGAAATTCGAACCCATCACGCACATCCATCACAAGGCGTGGTAACCCAAACTGCGAGAACTCCCTCGGCCTTTTAATCGCAAGGTGTGGTAACCAAGCCCTTAAACCATACACGTCTTACCAAATGCCAGGCGTGGTAACCCCTCTTGTGATCAGTTGGTTTTGCTGATTGCGACTCGGCTTCGCATGAAGTTTCGATACTGCTTCACGACAGCGCCAATGCCTCAAGACTTAGCTCTTCCATGGCCCATTCTCCGAGAGAGGGGGCCGGCGGCAGGGGGCGAAGCCCATACGGATATATATTATATATTACTATATATATATATATATATATATATATATATATATATCTGTTCCTCCGAGGAGCTCTTTTTCCTCAGTGGCCAGACCGAAGGTTTGATCTGTGTGCTTACTGGTGCCCAGAGCTCTAGACGAGAGGATGCAATCAGGCGCCAGTCCTCGAGACCGACGGCAGTCAGCACAACACCTCGCGTAGATTTTGCTCCGCGGGTGGGCTCGGGGGGGAGCTTGAGCACAATCGGTAGCGGGCGTGCTGTGACGCGCGGCCCCCTGTCCTCAAGGCACTCTCAGAAAAGATTCACATGCACGCATTGCCATCTGTTCCTCCGAGGAGCTCTTTTTCCTCAGTGGCCAGACCGAAGGTTTGATCTGTGTGCTTACTGGTGCCCAGAGCTCTAGACGAGAGGATGCAATCAGGCGCCAGTCCTCGAGACCGACGGCAGTCAGCACAACGCCACAAAATCGGAGAACTCCGAAACCATATGTCTGGAGACTCGACTTAAAGGCGAGGGGCCACTTTAGAAAACATCCCCCGAAACACATGGTTCCGATGTGCATTGAGAAACGTACGAGCAATATATACACACAGGTCACTTGGGTACGGTTCGGCGATAGCCGTAAGAAAGCGGCCGGCATTATCTTTACCGGCGAGTTCGATGTGGGGCTTACCTGAGAACGAGCAAATACCTCTACCACAGCACTTGAATGGACGCAGACTTGACAGGTCAGCATTAGCATAAAGGATTGCAGTGCGTTTTCGCCACGGAGTGCCGAAAGCGCAGAAGTCCACGGTTAAGCGCTGGACCCCGGACCGCTTCGAGACTCTTTCAGCCACAGGTTGTTTCCAGAGCCAGGAGGACCCCGGGTTTTCCAGGCCAACAGGGATCCCAAGGGACAGCGCTAACTCAAAAAGACTAAAACTGAACGCACAGAGCCTATTGCCTTGCAAAACTTTCAGAGCATCACCAGGCGACAATCCAGGGAGGCCCTGAGGGTGCGAGCTGCTTCTGAGCGGAGGGGGGCCATTTGGTCGGTTGCGCGCGAGCGACATCGACTGACAAGGCGTGCCCAACCACACAGCTGCCACAAGGCCTGACCGAAGCCATCCGCGAACGAGCTGCTGGACTCGGCGTTGCAGAAGGTCTGAAGCCGGGTCATGCTTGAGGTCCAGCTCAAAGGCGGCCAGGTGGCCGCGGGAGACTCGCCGCCACGCCAGAGAGAGGCGCCCTGACCCGCTGAACACTTCCAGGAACACGGGTTGACCGGCGTCCTCTACAGACCGAGCCAAATTTTGGAGAGGCGCCCGCCAATGGTGTCGACCAGGCGCGTGGCGTGGCGCTGCTCGGAGATCGGAAGCCGTCGCATCTGCTCTGCCACGCGGCCCCCTTTGGTGTAGCGCCGTAGGGACGAGTCCGACACCCACCTCCCCCTCTTTTTGATCTCGTCGAGGCTTCTGAACTTTGCGAGGCACTCGTGGGAGGCCCCCCCGTGTCGGAGGGTGTAGAGCGTCGGCGGCCCCAGGACGCCGAGGTGCAGCGCTGTCGCAGCACGCCTGAAGACCAGGGCCCACTGGTTGTAGCTCATGTCGAAGACGCGGCCGCCTGGCGCGGCTCGGGCCCGCAGCGCCTGCAGCAGCGGTGGCAGCCAGGTGAACTCCGGGCTGTCCAGAAGGAGGCCCTCGTCGTAGACTCCCGTCTTCGAAGGCTGAGCGCACTCCATCGGATGCAGGACCACCGACCAGAAACTCAGGAAGGTTCGCCCCGGCGGGGCGCCCTCGGCAGGCGGGATCACCTGCTCGCGCGTCAGGCTGAGCAGCTCTGCCGGACGAAGGTACAGCGCGAAGCAGACCGCCGTCGCCGCCGCCGCTGTCGTCTCGCCTGCATCCAGCATCCAGTCGATCATCAGGCAGGCAATCGGCCAGGGCAGCGGCAGCCGGGATCGTGGCGGTACCAGCCGGGCCCAGCCCTTCGCAGCACGAGCGGCCCTCGGGAAGGCCACCTGCAGCCGGCCTGGCGCCGCGCGGCAATGAGCCAGTGCCGCCATGTACTTCGTCGCCTCCTCGCTCGGGTAGCCGTCGAAGAACAGCTGGTTGAAGAAGGTCACCAGCGCGACGTCCAGCTCGGGCACCTCCACGATCGGCAGCCGGACCGAGGTCGCCCACGCCGTGAACTTCGAGACCCTGTCGGCATAGTCCCGGCGGGTCGCCTCCCCCACGGCCTGCGTCTCCAGGAAGGTCAGCGAGCCCGAGGTCACCGCCGTGTTGGCGGCGGGGAAGGCGCGCCTCCTGGCAACTCGGCGGTCCGCCTGATCCCCCCAGGACAGCGCAGCTGCGCTCTGGGAGCGGCTCCGGCGCCCAAGGTGGGAGGGCGCTGGGGCTGCTGGAGCCGCCGCGGGCCGCCTGCGGTGGACGCCCGACGGGCTGGCAGCAGACGCTCCCTGGGGCGACGACCGCTGGAGCATACCACGCCTCGGGCCTAGCACCAGGCCGGTTCCGTGATGCTGGGTCGGCAGAGTTGAACTCGGACGGCAGCCACCTCCAGTACGCCGCCGAGCCTGAGGCCAGCAGCAGACATGCCACCTGCCGGCAGACGGCGAGGAGGGCGGGCGCCGAAGACCGCCCCTTTGCCAGAGCCAAGATGGGAGCCATGGCGTCATTCAGCATTACGTGGGCCTTCCGAAAGGACCTCTTGGAGCGAAGCTTGTGCTTAAGCGCCATCACGCCGGACCTGGCCTCCAGGATGACCTGAGGGGCTGGGCGCCGCCAGGGCACCGAGAGGACCGGGTGCCAGTGGTCCCTCCAGATGTCGGGCGGGACCTCCTCGAAGCTAGGGTCCACGTCGGAGACTTCGGGCCCGTCCGGGACGGTTCCTGAGGAGCCTTGACCAGGGACAGCAGCGGCTCGGGGTCCAAGGCGTTGGCGCTCAGCTTCCCGAGAGAACCTCCAACGCTCGTTGTACCGGGCCAGACGCTTGACCGAGTCCTCAGAGACCTCCCGCTGGGTAACTCCAAAACCCCAAGACGACGCATCCAGGCACGTGAGGGTGGTGTCGAAGGGCAACCCGAGGTCCCTGCTGCAGAAGATGAGGAGAGCCCGAGCCCAGCGTAGTTCACGACGGACGACGGGCCAGAGCTTAGCGGCACGATTGTGGTATACCTCCCCAAACTTGTAGACGGCCCCCAGGCACGAGAGGAGCTCCCTCCTAATGAGCACCCTGGACGTGATGTGCGAGACGATCCTCACCATCTCCTTTCCAGAACAGAACCCACGTCGGAGGACCTCCTGGATCCCAAGGTACAGCTTCCACCTAAGCCTGGGGTTGAGCGAGATCACGGGCGAGTTCGAGTCGAAGGACCAGCCAAGAGTCTCCCCGCCCACTCCGCTCTCCACCCCGTGAGTAGGCAGCCCCACAGCACGCATATGATGATCGACCTGACGGGCAGCAGCAATAGCAGAGGCCTCCGATAGCGACAGCGCAACGAAGTTGTCGACGTATTCGGTATGAACAACGCCCGAGTCGACGACAGGGGCAGGCAGGCGATCCACCAGGACACGCTCCGGCCTGACGAGGCCAGCACGCCGCGAGACAATCTCATTCACTGACTGGCACAACCAAAGACTGAGACTGAATCCCATCGGAGGACACCTGAAGCACGGATAGACCCACTGCGTAGGCGCCACGGGCCTTCCATTCGCATCGACCGAGATCCCCAGTTCACTTCACCAGCCCTGAGCTTTAAAATCTTAAACTTAAAAAAAAAATTAAAAATTGAAAAAAAAAAAAATAAAACCTTAAAAAAATAAACAAATAAAAAAATAAAAAAAAAAAAAAAAACAACAAAAAAAAATAAAAAAAAAAAGAAAAATACTAAAAAAAAAAAAAAAAAAAAAAATTAAAAAAAAAAAAAAAAAAAAAAAATCAAAAAAAAAAAAAAAAAAAAAAAAAAAAAAAAAAAAATAAAAAACATGAAAAAAAAAGAAAAAACTTTAAAAAAAACTTAAAATAAAGGGAGTCCGAAGTACCGACGAAGCCAAGGTGGGAGCAACATGGTATAGAAGGCATCCGCGATGTCCACACCAGCGACACACACAGGCTCCCGACTGTCAACCCGGAGTTGAGAGAACGCGGCCCCAGTTGCCAGCTTCACCTTGGGGGGCTCGTCGAACAACTGGGACGGGATCCGGCCATCCAGTATGAGCCTCAGGGCCCCTGACTTCTTATAGACGAAGAACATTCCCACTGAGCTCAACGCATCGGTATGAAACTCAACGAGGTGCGATGACACAAGACGGTGCAATACTTTCTTATATAGGCGAGGGTTCCTCAAGTTGGGATCCGAATACGCCCTCTTCGGAGCGTGCTCCGCGACCCGGGCAAGCCCCCGCTCACGGGGCAAAAGTAGTTCTTGAAGGCGGTGACCAATACTCATGCTGTCATCCCCGATGAGTGCAGACAAGGACTTCGGTTCGGAGCCCACGCTCGGGTGGGAGATCAGATCGACGCGGTCGAAGGTCACCGGCGCAATCACGGCAGACTCCTGGTCGTATGACTGCGCGACGCGGAGCTCCTCGAGGGCTCCTGCGGGAGTGAGGTCGGGCGGGGGCACTCCGAAGGCGTCGACGGCCTCCTGGATCACCGCCAGAGCCTCCTGCTGGGCGGTCGTAGGGCCAGTGAGGCCGGTAGGCCGCGGACAGCTCGAACCAGTGTACATCTCATTCATGGCGCGGATGGCGTCGACGACCATCTCGCGGCGGTGACTGGTCCTGTGGAGTCGCCTCTTAGTTGTGCGAGACAGGTCAGTAGCCACAAAACTGCGCTCACCACCGGCGGGCACAGGGAGCGGAAAGAGATCCCGATGCCGTCGCTGACGAGCTGGCTGGGCCTCATGTACATCTGCAGCGCGGGAGGCCATATCCGCGAAGCCCCCTCGAGAGTCGCTGAAGGCGGTCGGGGAGTCCGCCTCCAGGCCCCGCTCCATCATGGAGCCAGAGCGCGGCGCTCTTCCTTAGCCTTCCTGATCTGCTTAAGGATTCCAGCGTCGCGCTCCACTTGTTTGGCCACGTGCTCCAGGAGTGCCGGAGCCACCATCATGCGGCCGTCCTCGCGGGCCGTGCCCGTGAAGACCCCCACCTCATCCACGAAACCGAACTTCAAGAAGCCACCGCCGCCCCGGCTCTTGGGCTTGCCCTTCGCCTTCGCCTTGGGCTCGCCCTCGGCCGAGACAGCAGCTGAGACGCCCGAGTCGCGCGCCTCGTACTCCATGGCGTACATGTACTCGTACAGCTGCGCCTGCCGCAGCATGACCTCGACGCCCACCACATTGGGCAAGTCGAGGAGGTCCCACGTCATCAGGTAGTCGACCATCCTCATGATGGACTCGTAGTGCGTCACCCCGAAGTCGTCGCGGGACAGCCGGTAGTAGGACACGAACTGGTGGAAGTGCTCGATGGCCCCTCCGCGCTTCCTGTCCAAGAAGCGGAGGCACCATAATGTGGTCCTTGGGCCGTCCAGCGGCCAGTCGGGGAAGGGCTCCTCGCGGAGCCTGTCGACACTCTCGTGGAACTGCACACGCTGCCGCGAGCCGTCACTAAGCAGGGCCACAGGCTGGAGGCGGGCATCAGCGAGGGCCTCGGCGCCTCGGTAGGCGGCCTGCGAGGTCGTGATCAGCCGGATGGCCGACCAGCTCCCGCCAGCGTCCTGCTTCAGGCCGATAGCCCCCCGGACGAGCTCCGTCCCGTCCATCGTGACAGGGTCCCCGCGCCGGGCCGTCGTCGTGGTCTCGACGTAGACCCACTGTCCGTCAGCCCCAGGCACGGCATTCGGCCCCAAGGGGCCTGCGGGAGCCCCAGCCGCGGCGAGCGGTGCAGCGGCTGCCGCAACTGGGGCGGCCCCAGCAGGCGGTCCAGCCGCGGGCGCGGCGGGGCCAGCCGGCACCACAGCCAGCGCGGCGGCCACAGCCGCCCCTCCCCCGGCGGCAGGGGCGCCGGGAGCGGGCCCAGGCGCGACCGCGCCACCAGCAGCGGCCGCGAACGTGAAGTAGACGGCAGCGCCCGCCGGAGGCACCACCCCGGGCCGCCCGGCCGCTCGCTCCGCGTCGAGGAACACGTCGCGGGCGTAGGCGTCCACCTCGTTCCTGATGGCCACCTCCTCGGCCGCCGTCAGCGCGCGCCGGAAACGGTAGAGGTTCCCGACCTCCAGGCCAGCTGGGCGGGTGCGCCGGTCGTCCTCGAAGCGAACCGCAGCCAAGGTCCCGTCAGACATGTCGTACAGCTCTTCGTATACGTCGCCATCCGGCGTCGAGATCAGCACCCGCAGGGGGGACCAGCGGGCATCAGTCGGATCCTGAATCACCCGGCCCCACACGCGCCGCTGATGCCACAGCGGCGCGCCGGCGTACTGTGCCCACGCCCACCGTCGCACCCCCGGCGGCGCCTGCTCCTGTGCCATCCTTCAGGGCGGCGGGCGTCGGAGCTGGCCGCAGCCTCACCACGGCCGAGCCGACCTGCCTCACCACGTGGAAGCTGAAGACCAACAGGTTGACGGCGACCAGGAAGCAGGTCAGCCACCCGCCCGTCCAGGAGAGGCCCTCAGGCTCCTGGGCGACCGGCTGGGGCGCGGGCGCGGGTGCCGGCGCCTCTGGAGCCGCCGGACAGGCGGCCGGCGGGTGGAAGTGGATCGGCGCCGCCGCTGGGCAGGCTGGGCACGCCGGCGGCTGCGGGCAGGCGGGGCACGCCGGGCAGCGGGCCGACCAGCTCACGACCGTCTGCGAGACGGTGCCGACGAGCCAGTCCAGGTACCGCTGGCCAAACAGCCAGGCCATGGGAAGCGGGGGATGCGTCCCCCGGCGCGCCCGCGCCGGTGTCAGCTTGAGCACAATCGGTAGCGGGCGTGCTGTGACGCGCGGCCCCCTGTCCTCAAGGCACTCTCAGAAAAGATTCACATGCACGCATTGCCATATGTGTGTGTGTGTAGATGTGCTCAAATAATCCTCCACGTCCCAGCGGGGCGGGTGCGACCCCCTGGGGCATTTCTTGACCCGCCCGGCCGGAGCCGTGAACACATCCTGGGGGGCGCCAACCCCCGCGGGCGCAGGCCCGCAAAAACGGCGGCTGCCACACGCTGTCGAGGAGTGGTTACTTCTAGCCATCGTATCCCCCCACACCGCGTTTTGTGAGCCAGGGTGGCTCCGAAGAGTGTTCGCGCGTTCTCCTGCTTCTGACCCGCCTGCGCCTTCGGGTCGTCATGCTGTTCGTGGTCGTCGTCGTCCTCCTCCTCCCTCCCGCATCCACGTAATTCTCGTTCTTGCCCTCGCCCTCCCCCATCCAGTACACCTCCCCCTCCACCTCCTCCTCCACCTCCTCTTCCCGTCGTCATCATCATCATCATCATCACCACCACCACCACCACCACCACCACCACCACCACCATCATCATCATCATCATCATCATCATCATCATCATCATCATCATCATCATCATCAGCAGCAGCAGCATCATCATCATCATCAGCATCATCATCATCATCATCATCATCATCATCATCATCAAAATCAGCATCATCATCACCATCCTCATCATCATCATCATCAGCATCGTCATCATCATCTTCATCATCATATTCATCATCTTCATCATCATCTTCATCATCGCCATCACCATCACCATCATCATCTTCATCATCATCATCATCACCACCGTCATCATCATCATCATCAGCAGCAGCAGCATCATCATCGTCATCATCACCACCATCATCATCAGCATCATCATCCCCCTTCTCGCTTTCTCCCGCTCCTCCTCCTCGTCATCCTCTTTATCCTGGACCTACTGGTCCTCCTCCATCTCCTTTTCCTTGTCCTCTTCCTCCTCCTCGTCCTGCATCTCCTCATATCAATCTTCCGCGTCCTCCTCCTCATACGAAATCCTCCTCATGATCCTGGTGCAATTCCTCCTCGTCGTTGTCCTCTTATGCCTCTGCATCCTCTACCTCGTCATCGACCTCCTCATTGAATTTCTCCTCCTGCTCCTCCTCTCGCCGCGCTCCTCCTTGTGTTCTTCGCGCTCCTCCTGGTGTTCCTCGCCCTCCTCCGCTTCGTGATGCTCCTCCGCTCTTGTTCCTTATGAATAACGCCTCGCTGTCGCACCTCAAGGCTGGTCGAAAGGGCGGGCCAGGCGTTTCGCCTGAGAATTCCTCATCACTTATGATATCTAAGCTTGACATGTGCAAGAGCTTCACGGATGGAGGGCGGCCCGCTTTCAAAATATGGCTCTCGCCTTGGCGCCGCGGCACACATGCTTTAACAGATTGCAAGGGCTAGAAGTTCGCAAGAACTCCAAGGATGAATGGCGACTCTGTTCATAATGTGGTTCTCGCCTTAGCACCGCGCACATTCGTGTTAAGAGCTTGCAAAAGCTCCCAAGATCCTCAGAGCTAGCGTCCCAGAAATGGTGTTCTGACGCGATTCAAGATCGCCAACACGCAACAGTCAGGGTGATCCGCGGCGTCGAAATCCCAGGAATGATCAAGAATGGTGTTCTGACAAGATTCAGGATCGCCAAGACGCAACAGTCACGGCGGTTCGCGGCGTCGAAATCCCAGGATAATGGTGTTCGGGCAAAATTCCCGACGTTCAAACGGTTGTGTTCCACCGGGGCATTTCCCTCAGTGAAGACGAACCCGCGGAGGAGCCTATAAAGAGGGAGCTTGGAGGGAGGACGTATTGCAACATCGTTGATGAGTCTTGGCTTTACACTGGTCTTCCTCCTCTTCCACCTCTTCCTCCTCCTCGTCCTCCTCCTCCTCCTCCGCCTCCTCCTCTTCGCAATGCTCCTCCTCCTCCTCCGCCTCCTCCTCCTCCGCCTCCTCATCTTCCTTTTCCTCCTGCTGCTCCTCCCCCTCCTCCTCCTCCTCCTCCTCCTCCTCCTCCTCCTCCTCCTCCTCCTCGCATTCCTCCTCCTCCCCCTCCTCCACGTCCTCCCCGTCCTTTTCCTCCTCTCCCTCCTCCGCCTCTTCCTCATCCTGTTCCTCCTCCTCCTCTTCCTCCTGCTCTCTCCCCCCCGTGTCTCTGCACGTGCTGTCGGATGATCAGAGGCGGTGTTCGAAGTGTCACGGATCGGCGACCAAAGCGACTCCCAAAGAATCCCGCAGTTCGCCGTGCTTTAGCGTGTACAACGTCGATGGTGTCATGTTGTCTCCGTCTCATGGCTCGCGTGTGCACGTGGCGGGGGGCTGGCTTAGTCCCTCTTACCTCCTGAATTTGCATATGGATTGTTCGATTTTTTCTAAACAAAAAACATGGTATTGTGGGAGGTGTGGTGCCATAGCTGACAAACAGTTACGCTTTCTGGGCAGGCCGTGCACACACCGTTTGACTCCCACTGGTCCAGTACATCTTGATAGAACCTCAATTCACCCCCCAAGGTCCTCAGCAAAGCCGAGAAGGCCCTGAGGGGGTGGGTAGTTCAATTGTTTTTCGAGCTGGCTTCGCCACTGGTTCCTACTCCTATCCTTATCCCTTATTAGAATATAATCTTACTCTCCCATCTTCGCGTGCGACATCTCGGAGCTCAGAGTTGCGAGGATGTCTCAGGCGTTGCCCAGACACCTCCCAGAGCTCATTTCGACAACAGACGTGTAATCAAATGGTTCGTTTGGGTCTGACCCCTCCTCCCACCTTTCTCCTCCATCTCGGAGCCCAGAATTTCGAGGATGTCTCAGCGAAACGGGCCAGACCACCTCGCGTGCAGCATCTCGGCGCCCGGAATTGCGAGGATATCTTGAGCGAAACGGGCCAGACCATCTTGCGCACGTCTTCCTCTCAGAGCTCAGAACTGCCAGGATGAGTCCGGCGAAACGGGCCAGACAACCTCGCGCGCAGTATCTCGGAGCTCAAGGGCGCGAGGATGTCTCAAGCGAAACGCGCCGGACCACCTCTCGCGCGGCAGCTCGGAGCTCAGAGCTGCGAGAATGTCTCAGGCGAAACGCTCCGGACCACCTCGCGCGCGGCAGCTCGGAACGCAGAACTGCGAGGATGTCTCAGGCGAAACGCGCCGGACCACCTCTCGCGCGGCATCTCGGATCTCAGAGCTGCGAGGATGTCTCAGTCGAAACGCGTCGGACCACGTCGCGCGCGACGTCTCGGAGTTCAGAATTGGGTCTCAGGCGAAACGCGCCAGACTTCCTCGCGCGCGGCAGCTGGGAGCGCAGAGATGTGCGGATGTCTGAAGCGAAGCGCACCAGACCACCTCTCGCGTGGCGTCTCGGAGCCCAGAATTGAGAGGTTGTCTTCAAGGAGCCCAGAGTTGCGAGGATGTCTTAAGCGAAGTGGCTGGACCAACTCGCGTGCAGCATCTCAAAGCCCCGAACTGCGAGGACGTCTCAGGCAAAACGGCCCCGACCACCAAATTTGTTGGAGGATGTCTCTGCTGGGCCGTCCCTCGGCCAGAACCAGTTTCTACCACAACAGCACCCCGTTCAGCCAGCTTCCTGGCGAAAAACGTGCCCCGCGGGCGGATTCGCTGATCGACTTGAACGGGTGGAGATTCTATCGCCCCCGACATTTCCTGTTGGCTGACGAACGTGCGCAGGCACTCTCCGGAGGTGGCCGACCAGGCCTTCACCGCGTTGTCGAACGCAGTGGTCAACACTCGCTGGCCGTTTGGGGAAAAAACGGCGGAATAGATCAACTCCTCGTGACCACGTAGGGTTTGCAGGCACTCTCCCGAAGTGACTGACCAGACCTTGGCCGTATGATCATCCAAAGAAGTCAACACCCACTGGCCATTTGGCGAGAATATGGCGAATTCGAAAGAGTTCTGGTGGCCGCGGAGTGTTTGCATGCACTCTCCAGATGTCGCAGACCATACCTTCACTGTGCCACTCGATTGGGTCAACACTGCCTGGCCGTCTGCGGAGAAGACAGCGCAGCCGATCCAATCATCGTGGCTGAAAGTGAGCAGGCACTGCCCAGAGGTGGCCGACCAGACCTTTGCCCTCCCTGGGCCAGCGCCCGCTGCCAGGGGGTACGTTGTGGTCAGCACCCGCCGCCCGTCCGGGGAGAATCGACTACACGCAAGAGTGACCCTGGGTAAGAGTGACCTTTGGTGCGCGGCTTTTGGGGGGGCCGCGGAGGGACCAAACACAAGCGCGCAAGAGGCTACTACCACATCGCGTTCGGCGACCGGGGGGCCCCAGTGGGCCCGCACCAAAGGTCACTCTGACGAAGGGTCACTCTCACATGTAGTCGAGAGAAGGCCGCAGAGGCCCCCTCCAGGCGCGCATGCAGCTCGAAGCCAGCGCGCGGGCCCTGGCGGCACTGCAGGGTGTGCAGGCACTGCCCGCCGGCCGACCAGAGCTTCGCTGCCCCATCCTCCGCGTCGGTCAGCAGCTGCTGCCCGTCCGGCGAGAACGTGGCGGAAGTGACGATTCCTTGGTGGCCCACCAGCGTGCGTAGGCACTCTCCGGAGGCGGCCGACCAGATCTTCACCGTCTCCCTGCTGCAGGTCACGATGCGGTATGCACTGACGACTACCATGGTGAGCCTGCTGTCGCTTTCGGCTCCGCTGTCGCCCAGCGTCATGTTCCCAAGAAGCTCCGCCTCTCCGCAGAAGATTCGCAACCTGCAGCCGCGCGCCCCGTCTGGCTGCGGGATCACAGCGAGCACGTCGCCCAACCGCCACGACGGGTCAGCTTCGATAACAGCGAGCTCACGCCCACTGCACGCGGCAACGGAAACGCGCATGCCCTGCAGACTCCTGCGGGATAGGGGCGGGAAGCGATTGCGAGAGATTGCGAGGCGCCTTGAGCCTGAGGTCATGGACCCCACGTGTCCTTGCATGGCTGGCTAATACATTCTCGGGATCCAGCTCTACTCTCTTTCCTCTGGGAGAGCGGGAGGGCGCGACTCCCTCGAGGTCAACAGTGGTCAGCTCGCGCCGTACTTTTGCAAGGTAGGCCGATAACCGCACAAGCAAGCGCGAGATGACGCCCCCCTCTTGGAGAGTGGGAGGTCCACCCAGGCGTTGCTTTTTACGCGGTGGCCGATGCCCGCTCAGAGTGCCCCCCGCACGGCCCCCCTCCACACCACCCAGGGACGGCGGGACAGCGGGGCCGTCTCTGCGCTAGCAGGATTTCCACTCGCATTACGGGAAGGGCATTGGACAAGGAACAATTGGACAAGGAATCAAGGGTCTGGAAGCCGGCGGACAGCCAATTGAGGCATGGCCATGGATATCACCGCCGCCCTCATTACATCAGGAATCGCCCAGGGTCTGAAGCCTCCTGGGCCCATTCTTGAGCGAACGCCCCCACTGTATTTTCATTGGGGAACCCACAAAGGACGTACGCGCCCACCTATGTACATGAACACGGCCCCTCGACCCGCGAGACCGGCCGCGTGATACGAACATTCGCGCAAGGCGAACTCTCGAAACCAGCGTGGATTCATGTACGTGTACGTCCTTCTTTCGCTCCTGATTCATACCGATCATGTCATAGAAATCAAGCCGGAGGACGCAGCCAACTCTGGGCGGGCCAGTGGTCCATCGTGGTCCACGTGCACAGCACTGCTGCACCGCGAGCCACTGAGGTTGAACCCATTGGCTGCCGAACATGCGTCGGCCTTGTGCTGGTTGCCACAAGCGGTTGGGAACTTTCGCACAGCGTGTCGCGGCGGCGGCCCCGGCGACACGCTGCACATTGAGAGCGGACCACACGTCACTCCGCTCGCTCTGCGTGGCGGGGGGCTCGGACAAGCTCTGTCCACGAGGGAGAGGGGTGCAAATCATGACCGGCGGCATGTGCGCGGCCCAGCGGGGGGGCCAGGGACGTAATGAAATAAGAAGAGGCGCCACGAGATCTGGGGAAATATCATGGCCCCCGCCATGATATCCACCCCCCCCTAGTCATCACCCCCCTCTTTTCCGCCCCCGACAAACGGTTGGGAACTTTCGCACAGCGTGTCGCGGCGGCGGCCCCGGCGACACGCTGCACCACATTGAGAGTGGACCACACGTCACTCCGCTCGCCCTGCGTGGCGGGGGGCTCGGACAAGCTCGGGACGTTGGCGCCCTGGGACCGGAACTTGGATGGCGCCCAGCGCTCGCCTGGCCCGCACGGAGGAGGAGGAGGAAGAAGAGGAGGAGGAGGAGGAGGAGGAGGACGACGAGGAGGGGGAGGGGCACCAGAACCGGCGGAGTGACACGCTAAGCTAAAGTTCCCGACCGTACAACGGCCTCGTGCTGGCTGCGGCATGGGTGCACAGCCGGCAGCCGAAGCTGCTGTTGGTGGCGCCATAGGGCACGTCCTCGGCTGCCGGAAATACAACGGGCTGCTACTGCTTGGGGCATGAGTTGCATCCCCGGCTGCCGAAATTGAACTAGCTTGCTAGTGGTTGCGCCATCTGCCGCCAAAACGGCCTGTTCACGGTTGCGTTAAATGAAGCAATCAGTCGGCCAATCATTCAGCCGATCAGTCAGGGCACCTCACGGAACACGGTCTCGGCCTACTCCTGAAACGAATTACCGACTCGCCAGCGACTTCGGTAAACACTTCAGAATCAACTTAGCCCCTAGTGCCCTAGTGCCCCATCCTGCGTCTCCATCCTCACGTTGCTGAGCTTGCCTATTCTTCCTAGCCGGGCGAGGTAGATCGCTTCAAGCGCGACCCGCTCAGCCAGTGCTCTCCCCCATGAGCTATCCGCCCTGGCGGCGCGCACAAGAGAGTGGCACGAGGAGGGACGGCCTTCTGAGAATGAAGGGGCCCTGGGACACACAAATAAATGCACACAAATAAAAAGATTCCCCAGATGTTTGTTCCCATATTTTCTGGGTTTTTGTCTTCCCCCCACTTCCCCCCCACTTCCCATATTTTCAAATATTTTCTGTGGAATCGACGATTAATTGTGTCTGTGTGTTTTCCCCCTCCTGAGAGAAGGCGGAGGGCTCCTTAGAAAACAAGTGGGGCTTCCAAGAACGGCCCAGGGGCTTCTAAGCAGTCCGCAAGGCTTCCGAGAATCCCCCTGCCTTCCCGGGAGCCCTCCGGGCGCCTGGAGTCTCTGTTCCCTGCTCCTCCTCCTCTTTCTCCTCCTACTCCTCATCCTTCCTCCCTCCTCTCTCCTCCTGCTCCTCCTCCTGCTGCTCCTCCTCCTCCTCCTCCTCCTCCTGCTCCTCCTGCTCCTGCTCCTTCTTCTCTTCCCCCTCCTCCTCCTCCTCCTCCTCCTCCTCCTCCTCCTCCTCCTCCTCCTCCTCCTCCTCCTCCTCCTCCTCCTCCTCCTCCTCTCCTCCTCCTCCTCCCTCCTCCCTCCTCTTCCTCCTCCCCCCCTCCTCCTCCTCCTCCTCCTCCCTCCTCCTCCCTCCCTCCCTCCCTCCTCCCTCCCTCCCTCCCTCCCTCCCCTCCCTCCCTCATCCTCTCCGTCCTCCTCCTCCCTCCCTCCCTCCTCCTGCTCTTCCTCCTCCTCCTCCTCCTGCTCCTCCTGCTGCTGCTGCTGCTCATCCTGCTCTTCCTCCTCCTCTTCCTCCTCCTCCTCCTCCGCCTCCATTTCCTGCTCCTCCTCCACCCCCTCCCTCCCTCCTTCCTCTTTCCCTCCCTCCTCCCTCCCTCCCTCCCTCCCTCCCTCCCTCCCTCCCTGTCCTCCATACTCTGGAAGGGCCGCCTGCGACAGGTAGACCTCGTCTTGCCTCCGCCGCCCGCCCTCGGTAAGCCGGCGGTGCCTCTGGAGGTAGTGCAGCACGCTCTTGCTCTGCTGGCTGGCGGGGGGTCGCCAGTGGTGGCGGTGGATGCGTCGTCGTCGTCGTCGCCGCCGCCGCCGCCGCCGCCGCCGTCGTCGCCGCCGCCGCCGCCGCCGCCGCCGCCCGCCGCCGTCGTCGTCGTCGTCGTCGTCGTCGTCGTCGTCGTCGTCGTCGTCGTCGTCGTCGTCGTCGTCGTCGTCGTTTCTGCCGCCGCCCTGGTTGTCTTCTCTGTCGTCAACGTCGTCGTCGTCGTCTTCTCTTCCGCAGCCCTCATCGCCTTCTCTGTAGCCGCCGTCTTCGCCCTTGCCGTCCTCTTTGCCACCTTCTTTGTCGTCGTCGGCGTCGTCGATCTCGCCCTCGCCTTCGAACTCGCCTTCGCCGTCGCCGTCGTCGAGGGATGATGGTCGAGGGTGCAAGGCCAGGAGCTTCGAGCTGGGTCTCGGACGGGGGGCGCCCCCGTGGAACCCAGCTGGATGCGCCCCGAAGCTCTGGTCAGAGCGCGCCCCGAGAGAGAGACAGGGAGGGTTGCCGTCCTGATCGCCGCCACCGTCCGCCGACTGACCGCCTCCTCCTCGATTCTCCTCCTCGATTCTCCTCCTCGATTCTCCTCCTCCTCCTCCTCCTCCTCCTCCTCCTCCTCCTCCTCCTCCTCCTCCTCCTCCTCCTCCTCCTCCTCCTCCTCGTCCTGCTCCTCTTTCTCATCCTCCTCCTCGATCCTCCTCCTTCTCCTCCTTCTCCTCTTCCTGCTCCTGTTCCTGCTCCTGTTCTTGCTCCTGGTCCTGCTCCTGCTCCCTCCTGCTCCGTCCTCCCCCTCCGTCCGCCTCCTCCTTCTCCTCCTTTCTTTTTCTTCTCCTCCTCCTCCTCCTCCTCCTTCTCCTCCTCCTCCTCCTCCTCCTCCTCTTTCATCCTCCCTCCTTCCCCTTCCCTCCTTCCTCCTCCCGCTTTCCTCACACCACCCTCCCCCCTTCCTCAGGTGCGCGCGCTCCCTCGGGCACGGGGGGGAGGAGGGGAGGCGGGAGGGGACGAAACAGAGAGAGGGCAAGAGGGTACACGTCGGTCGGAAGAAGTAGGTAAAAACATGATATAGGAAGGCGGATATAGTAGATTGGGTCCAGGCCCTCCCAGAGAACAGCAAATCACAGCAAAAGCATGCCGATTCTTGAAGTAGGAAGGCGCTTGAAGTAGATTGGGACCTGGGAATCCAAAAATACCTACTATCAACGACCGGCGTGTAACCCTCCATGCCTGTTCGGTAGCAATATATCTGGCTGGTGCCTGGAAGTGATATTCCGCCCCCAGGGCCCTCAGTGCGGGATCCCAGCAGGATCAAAATAGGATCGCAGCAAAATCCCAATTAGATTCCAATCGGATTCCAGCAGGATTTCTGAAGGATCCTTGAGGGTTCCTAAGGACCCCTGAGGATTCCTAAGGACCCCTGAGGATTCCAAAAAGATTCCTGAACAATTCCTGCAGATTTCTGCCGCATTCCTGACGATTCCTGCAGGTTGCCTGCACGATTCTCCTGGGCTCCTGGGATTTCCTCAAGATTCCTGGATGATTCCTGAAGGATTCCTGAGGATCCCCAGAAGATCCCAAAAGGATGCAGGGCCTCAGGCCCCCCAAAAATATGTACATCAAGGC